GTATCTAGTTGTGGATAGACTTTTACATATATGTACATATAATAGTTAGATATTTTTCAATTTTCATCTGTAAAATATTGCCATATTTGTGTGTTGTTCTATAAATATTACTGTAAATAGTGACACACTTTTGCATTTGATTGCTAATTTTAGAGATTACAGTTTATGTACAAAATAATAGAATAAAAATTTTCTTGTTATGATTTTGTAGAAAGAGATCTACTTGAGTGGTTGGCTGGTCTTGAACCTAGGGCAGAAAGTGGTGACCAGTTAAGTGATGAGGATGAAAGTGACAAGAACGAAATCACCCATGCTGTACAATTCAAATGCATCGGTGCGATTACCAACATCATTTGGAACAGGTATACCTTGCTCTTCATGGACAAGATAAACCAGTGAATGTAAGAATACGGCCAAAGCCATTGAATCCAATGGACCCAAGGGCAATTGCAATTGATGTAGACTATGGAACTGGATGGACACATATTGGTTATATTGCTTCTCAACTATGCGAGTATTTGCACCAACTAATTGCCACAGGAGATATATCAAGAGGTCTATGTTCACATATCAAGTATAGGGTTGACTTTTTTAAAATAGGATTTTATCAAAATATTTTCATAAAGCGACGTGGTGAGTGGGAGACTCAAGTGGTAAGGAAGAGCACGAGTGTACGTTGACAGGTGTTTGTGATATAATTGTAACTGACTAGGTTTAGCAAGTTATAGAAATGATGTTATTTCAATTGGCTAACTTTTTAGATTATATTTTCATAAACAAAAACTAGGTTAATCATAAGTGCATGGGTGTGCACAATTAAAATAAAACAATGTCTGTCATGCACACTCATGCAATTATGACAAGTACATAATTGTAACATGTGCTGTACTAAATGAAGAAATAAATAGTTTGTACATTCACTTGCCCAACTTTGTGAGTAATTTTTCATTAAAATTAATGCAACAATAAAACAAAAACATGTCTATTTATATACATATTGATCAAAGGTCCCACAGTAACATGCTGCTGATACTTTGTGGTACATTACATGAGAATAAAAAAAAACCTGCATATAATTGCACCCATCAATGTCAAGCTCCAGAGGGGGATGGGCATATGTGGGGTATTTGATCATCAATTGCATCCCCACTCTGGGGATTTTGACAACATTTTGGGCCAGAGTTAGGGCAATTTGAACCAAAATTACTTTTATAAATTAATTAATTACTTTTAGGTTCTAGAAAAGATCCAAAATCCCCACACGGAGGAAATTTCTGCCGTCCGGAGGGGGAGGGGAGACAAAATTGTTTCTGATAATAGTAAATGTATTAGGACATCCAAGGGGGGGAAGGGGGGTTAACTTCCAATTTCCTCCATGGGGGTGGTATGAATCTTTTCTGGAATGACCCTATAGTATTTATTGCAATTTATTGCAAAATGGTAGGGTGTTTGACCAATATTTATTGCCTAACAGTGGGGCATTTGATTGAAAATGTGATAAAAAAATCAAATGCCCCCATATATGCCCGACCCCGCCCCCTCTCTGGGGCTTAACATTGAAAGAACCACCATTTCTCAAACTTTATCTGAATTAGTTGTGTAACATCATTACAAAATACTGTTAAAAAAGGCCAAGTGGGCCTTCATGCACTGCTATAAAGGGCATTCTATCCAATGGCATCAGACAAACATCTCCATGGCGTTGTTCTCCAAAGCATCGAGCGGAGTGATAAATCAGATTTGAATGCTGTTCTTGGGATTTGTCATCCAAGTGGGTATATATATACATTTTAAGACCTGACCAGGAACGACTGCGAAAAATGCAGCACAAGGTCCTCTGGTAGGAATTGAACCTACGGCCCTGCGATTCCGGTGCAGCGCTTTAACCAACTGAGCTACAGAGGCCAGCTGTTGAGCTGTGACCGTTAGTTCATGTATATATAGGTGATCGGGTGTGCGGGTTGTGATAAGGTGGACTTCAATGATCTGGTTTTTTGCACTTCACTTGGTGGTAATAATATTTGAATGCTGTTCCCTAAGAACAGCATTCAAATATTATTACCACCAAGTGAAGTGCGAAAAACCAGATCATTGACTTCCGATAAATCAGATTGTCTTTTTGACCAGCAAGAAGTACAGACATAGCCTCGGCAACAAGTGGGAGAATATTTGAGGGACAAATTTAGCATCTAAACCAGGGTTAACTTTTACCAGCCATTTTTGAAACAGGTGGATGAGTAGTTGTTCTGGTTGTCGCTGGGTTAGTTTTGAAAATCCAGAAGTCATCATGCCAATAACATATTAACCAGAAAGGTGAACAAGGTTTTGGTCACTCAATGGACAGACAATCATAACATCGGAGATCTTGCAGATGTAGAAGGTCTGTACAGATTGGAAGGACCGATTTTACCTCCAAATTTAATGATGATGCTTAATTCTTGCAGATAAAATCATTGACAAAAATAAAATCCAGCCAAAATCACGAATTTCAAATCTAAAACATCAGCCAAACAATAAATTTCACTTATAAAATATTGTTACGGAAGGACTTTAATTATTTACACACTTTAACTGCAATATATACAATCCATAATATATCGAAACTTCTATAATATATCACACTTCTTTGGAAAAAAGCGAGTAATAGCAGTTCATTATCGATCTGAGTGACAAGGCAACATATTTTACAGGGGGCTATATCCAACGATGAATATCTCGAAAACGGTTGCGGGACCGAGGGGGGCCGGCTGGATAGAATTAAAGATTATACTTTTGTTTAACTAATCGTGAAAAAAGTAGCGAAATCGAACCGTGGAAATTTGAGATTTTTGTCTTCAAAGATTGTTGACAGAAACGCCATTAATTAAATTACATAGCGCCTAAAGTGAGAGGTCAAAATAAACTGGAAAATAACGCTTACCTTTCAAGATACCGTTCCAATGGGTAGATTCACTGTTGTAAAAGTAGTATCGCGTGAAATTTCAAAAAAAAATGTGCATAACAATATTGTTACGAAAGTATTAAAAATAGTATAAAAATAGTTCAATTTGCACCCCAGGTAATTATAGATACTAGTTACGTCAAATGGAGAGATAATGAGCATTTTTGCTGTAAAACGCAGATAAAGTATATATCATTTCGGACTTGTGTAAAAGTGTCAATTATCTGTCCATTAGGCAAGATAAATAATTTGTCAAAGTTGGACGATAACCTTGCATGGTGGGCTGTTGTGTTTACATAATTCAAAGTCCAAGGCTGGTTCTTCTCTGACATGAAAATGTGCATGCTTAGGGCCTTTTTGTCAATCATTCTTCGGTATATTTCGCACGGTTGAATAATGATAACATTACGTCATCAAAATCTTGGTTCAATAAAATTGTAAGTAAATTTAGGTTAGTAGGTAAAGTAAGGTTCACATAGGTATAGTTTGAAGTTTTTACTATGATATTTTGATGAGTATTTTAAGTTGTGAACATGTTTTAATGATGATCGATTGAACAGCGAACCAACTCGACCAGTGCGACAACGCCTTAAATAAACAGAATATGAGAGCTGGAACGAGCTAGCAACGCCAACCCACACCTTTAAACCTCAACGTTGATTGGCTGGATACAAATCACACCACTTGCTACATCACGTGTAGAAAGATCCCTCAACCGTTAGTATAAAAGGGCGCGCACAACCCAAATTCGTCAGTGGACGTATGCTGAATAAAACTTAACTGATGAAAAGCTGCAGAAACTCAAACGAAACAAACGAACGACGAAGAAATAAACGAAACGGATCACGAACAGTGAAAGCCAGTTGAAGGCTGAAGTGAACTCTTGAAAAACTACTGCAAGAAGACGAACACTAAAAACTGATAGTTACTAGAGATTGATTGTAAACGATTCCCTACCTCGCGTAGAAAAAAGAAATAAAATATATATATTCTAACAATATGAAAAAAGTCGATATTTATGAGCCCTATGTAAATTTTCGACGCCAAAAGCTTCATGCGAGCATGAGGAAAATGGCGCAATCTGATTGGCCGAGAGATTCGCCCAGATTCGCCTAATTAGCTGTCCAACCTCCTCTGGTTACCTACAATGCTGTTTGATTCTCGACTGCACGATTCGCATTGCAATTGTTTACTGTCACTTAATGTGGATGAAACCAGAACACGACATGAAAACGCACGACAATATTCAACTGTACGATATTGTGGAGAAGAATCATTTGGTAACAGGGGAACAAGTTGTGTTTTCACTGATTTGCTTGACTTCAGGGAAAATAGAGTTCCTTTACAAATACCCAGAGATACAATTTCGTTGCACACCGTCTTAAAATTACAGGCAGTCCTGTAATTACAGGCAGTCCTACGCTCGTTTGAAACGTATATGGGATGATTATTGGGCAATGACCAGCCATAAACGAGAACGGAATACTTCAGAGTAGATTCGACACGTACAGAATACTTTGCAATCAAGTACTCACTTTCTTTAAACTCAATAACAGTGTTATTTCCTTCTTTGAACCAATTCCAGTCTTGAAAATACGGGTACCTTCCAGCGTTTTTCAAATATACATTCAGATTATAAAGAGAGGCATATATAATTGTAGTTTCTTGAGAAACATGCCTTGGGGCTAGTTTTTTTCTCGGTGCACTGGTGAAGCTTGTACTAAGATGACCGAAGCTTTTGACGGAGAGATTTTCTGTTGGAATTGGACCAGTTTGTAGGGACTTCCTTTTGGAAAAGTTTTCAATGTACTCTTCTTTAAAATGACTTCTCACAAATATGTATGTTGTTGTTTTCGATCTGTGTCTTCAAGTTCGCATCCAACTGTCTCGGTCGTAATATCGCGTTAATCCAACCGTTTCGTGCTTCTTCCTTACGATGAAAAGTAAATTCGCTGTCTGAATTACGAGGAACTGGAATTTGAAACAAACTCACGTTTGTGTACCGCCTACTGTGAAAACAATTGTAAAAAGCACAATTGGGCATTCGTGTATCAAATTACTACGATATTTTATTACTATATTTTGGAGCTTTTTCGATTGTAGTCGTTCGTCGTCACGTGACCTTAGAATTTAATCGGTTAACATAATAATTACGTCATCACAAAATAGAGGAAGCTTCCAAACCATCTCGCTCCATTAATTATGTTACAATGAATGCAGTGATAGTCCGAAACATTTTCTAGTTAGTATTATAAGTTGGTACAAATACGTTACTGTCGTTACTGTATAGAGTATATTTAATATTTAGTTTTCGTCGTTCAACGACCTCTTCTGAAGAGCAGAATGTTACTCAAGGATACCTTCCACTGACTAATGAGTATTCAGTTGTACAAATTTATCTCTTGCATGGTTGGTGACACTATATTGTACAACACCTCTACGGCTACAGCACTTATAATAGCATATGAACAGTTTAAACATTTTTTTTCAGTTAGCCATTTGTCTGAATCTTAACATAAAACTACACAGGCGAATGGGTCAACTCACCGATTTTCCTAAACAGCTTCCCTTGTAGAAACAAACACTATTTAATTGCTATTTAATTCCTATTTTATTGGGCTATTTAATTCCTATTTATCAAAGTATTTATTTCCTATTTTCACTATTATTTTTTTTCGAGGTTTTTCCTATTTAAATTAGGGTAGAAAAGCTATTTTTTTCCTATCCAAGTGGAACCATATTTTTTTCCTATTCATGATATATTTCTAAACAAATACTTAATTGATCTACTCGAATAGAAATTAAATAGGTTTCAAATATGATAAAAATAGAGCTATTTAAGGAAATTATTAAAAATATTTAGTTTCGACATAGTTAATAAATATGTATGAAATAGTTAAAACATAGTGACAATATAGGTAAAAAATATGTAATAAATAGGTGAAATGTGTTTCAACAAAGTTTAAAATAGTCAATAAATAGTTCAAAAATAGTGATAATATAGTTTAAAAGTAGATAATAAATAGTTCAAAAATAGTGAGATTATAGTTTAAAAATAGATAATAAATAGTTAAAAAATAGTGATAATATAGTTTAAAAATAGATAATAAATAGTTCAAAAATAGTGATATTATAGTTTAAAAATAGATAAATAGTTAAAAAATAGTGATAATATAGTTTAAAAATAGATAATAAATAGTTCAAAAATAGTGATAATATAGTTTAAAAATAGATAATACATAGTTCAAAAATAGTGATAATATATAAAATAGCTAATAAATAGTTCAAAAATAGTGATAATATAGTTTAAAAATAGATAATACATAGTTCAAAAATAGTGATAATATAGTTTAAAAATAGATAATACATAGTTCAAAAATAGTGATAATATAGCTTAAAAATAGATAATAAATAGTTAAAATACATCCCAGCTTGTTAAAAATAGCTAATAAATAGTGGATATAATATTGCCCAAATAGATTAAAAATAGTAATAACATATTAAATAAATAGTTAAAATATGTCCTGTTAATACAGTTAGAATAGTTATTAAATATAGTGTATACAAATACATATAGCCTATAAATATTTTTAAAATATATTATAAATACCAGTAGTTAAAACATAGATAATAAAAAGTTAAAACATATAATGTAAATAGTCTTTAAATAAAATATAATTAGTAAAAGAAATTGAGAACAAGTGTAGAAGTGCTGAAACATCAGAGGCTATTACAGACCTACTTTAGTATTTATCGTCTATAAATGCCAGACAATTTTACTTATCAGTAGTTAGAGGTCTGTCAATAAATGAGTTAAAAATCTGTAGTTAGCAGTCTCTATGGTAGCCAAAGAGTTAAGTATACTGTATACATACAGTAACTTGGCTGGGGACTGGGCAGAAGAAAAGCAAGAACATCATGTAACATCAAGAATAGGGCGAAGCTCGGCTGCAGCTAAGTTTAGAAAAAAACATTTATATATGTGAATAATACCCTGAATCTAGCTGGATATTTTTCAACTATCCAACATATATCCTGTATGTAGCTGGATAGCAAAAACATTCTATCTTGCACACCCCTACAAAGAACTTCAAGTAGGTAACATAAGAGGAAATTGCTCCTTTATAGGTGTTATAGGTAATAATTATTTAGCATGCCACAGTCGGTAAGTAAAATCGTCTACCATGAAATGTCAGAGTTAAATAATAATATCAAAGTACTTAAGTAGGAAGTGTTATATGTCAACATGAAACATGGGCAGAGTCTAGCACTCTAGCTAGACACTTCACTTTACAAATAAAATTGTCCGGCATTAGGCAAGATAACATTTAATAACAAAGTGCTGAATATTGGGCTCATTGGAGTGAAATGGGTAATTCCAAAAACAATCAAACCCTTGCCGGGGTGTCTCTAAAATATATAAAATGAAGCCCAAAGGTTGTTACATATATTATTAAGCAGATCATGAAGACATGTGGTGTAACTAAATGTATTCATAAGTTTGAACAAGCAAACTAAAGACTTTAACTGTTTTCAGTTAGGGACATGTCTATAATCAAGTTGCCACAAATGACAACAACACATCAAATTGATATTTTGATCTATTCTAAACTGACCCACCTATATATATGAATAAATATTGGAAACTTATGAAAGTACCAGTTAATTTAAAACCAGTCGATACATTTTCTCAAACCATCTTTAGCTGGGACATGCCTGGGTAGGCATATGAGAATTGAGTAGATGCCAAGCTATATCATTTTATACAAGAAACACTGGAATCTGGCAATCTGTCATATACACTATACACTATACACAAAGGTCAAAGTATACTATTTGGCATTACAATAAACAACATTTAATATAAAGGCTGAGTCAAATGTAAGCCTATCTATAAAACTAATGTTGTTTTAATTCAAATATTGTCGAAGCAAATTGAAATTTTAAGCTGGAACATGTGCTCAAAATTCACGAATGAAGATAGTAAATATTTCCTTTCAAAATTGCTCTATTTATAAATAAAACATAACAAAATTCTTACCTGGATGTTGCCCAGTCATTCCTGATCTTTAATCTTTTAAATAAGTATTACTTTCGCTCAATAAATGCTCTGTATTTGAGTATTTCGAGCGGAAAGTTTAAACCCAAAAATTTTTAAATATGGTGGTATGAATTGTGACGCTATCCCAGAAAGCTTTGCGCGCGTTGTTGGAAAATTAGGCACCAGTCTGTGAGTCTGTCAAAACCGCGCTCTTCGTGAGAATTTTTGGTGGTGTTTTGTCAAGAGACAAAATACCTACCTCTACAAAGACTATAAATATTTTTGTAAATATATTTCAATGAATTCGATCATAAAAAAATTAAAATTAACTCAAACTGGTAATTTTTGACCAGTTAAATAAATACATTTACCCTTCCTCAATTCTCACAATCCCTTTCTATGAATAGGAAATAAATAGCTTTTTAAGATCTAATTATTTTGCTATTTATTAGCTATTTTAACAATAGCTCTAAAAATAAAAGTAAACATAGTTTAAAGATAGCTATTTATAATAGCCATTTGAAGAAACTTCACCACAACTTTCTATGAATATAAATCAAATAGCTATTTAAGATCTATTTATTTTCCTATTTAGTAACTATTTTAACAATACTCAATAATAGCTCCAAAAATAAAAGCAAACATAGTTTAAAAATAGCTATTTAATAGCTATTTGGAACAAAGTTCGCCACAACTTTCTATGAATAGGAATTAAATAGCTATTTAAGATCTATTTATCTTCCTATTTAATAACTATTTTAACAATACTCAATAATAGCTCCAAAAATAAAAGCAAACATAGTTTAAAAATAGCAATTTTATAGATATTTTGAACCAAAGTTTGCCACAACTTTCTATGAATAGGAATTAAATAGCTATTTAAGATCTATTTATTTTGCTATTTAATAAATGTGTTAAGAATGGCTCCAAAAAGATAAGCAAAAATAGTTTAAAAATAGCTATTTAAAACTATTTTAACTGACTCGTTTGTCATCAATAGGAATTAAATAGCTATTTAAAAGCTATTTTATAGAGAGATTCCGTCAAATACTCTTTTAAATAGGATTTGAATACCTATTTAAAAGCTATTTTTTTGAAAAATATAAATAACATATATTTCAAATAGAGTGTAAATAGTCATATCCTATTTTATGAAATTTGATAAATAGTAATAAAATAGTCATAGTTTTGAAAAAGTACGGAAAAAATAGGGCTAAATAGAGAAAAATAGGTATAAAATAGGTTATAAATATGTCGAATTCTACAACGGGAAAGTTCAAAATTCAGCTGCAATATAATATAAAAGTAGATTCACTCTTAGGGGCTGTTTATATGGAAGAGAGCCAGCCCGTGTACCCGAGCTGGCTCGCATCCTCGAGATGAATTTCACCACGCGTTTACATGAAACTTACATGAAGGGCTGGCTCTTCTTGTTCTAATTTTTTTTGGCGTAAACAACTCCATATATGAAAGTTGGTTCCTTATATGGGAGTTGTTTGTGCATTCTGAATTGTTCTAATTAATTGCGCATGCGTATTTGCTAAATTTCCAGCCCTACTAGGAGGGCTAGCCCTCCCTGTTGCGTTTATATGGAAAACTACCCAGGCCGTCTACCCGAGGTCTCGGGTCACACAAAGCGGGACCTCGGTTAGGCGGGCCAGCTCGGTTCTCAAATAACCATAGTTAATAGAGGAGATGGTTTGGAAACTCATTAGCATTACAATAAACCTCACTATCTATGTTTTTGTTGAGGTTTATGCAAAAATGTGGTCTTTCATCGTCACGTGCGTATTGTATTTTTGCTCAACCAGCCAATAGCAACGGTTTTGTCCAATTTCCCATCCATGACTTTGATAACGATGATATTGTATGAGGGGACTTTAGCACTGTCAACTTCTCATCTTTGAGATGTTCACGTTATCCCGTAATTCACATAACTTTGAGATGTTCACGTTATCCCTCAGCTGGCTGAAATATATCGAATAATGCCATTGGCATAAGAAATTATCTATTAAATAAACGCAACATGAAATTTAGTAGTAAATATTAACAAAGACGGGATCCCGCCTAAAGCGAGCTTGCTCGGGTACCCGAGCTGGCTCGCCTCATATAAACAGCCCCTTACTACAGAAACATATAAATAATAGACATAGAATGCGTGCTCCTATCTCTTCTCAGTAAAAATTTTGTCTGCACAAAATGGCGGATTTATAAGGGCATTTTGGCTAGTCCCAGACTCCTGTGGCGTGGAAATTCGCGCGGTGCCGGGACAAAGATTAAGTATATACTTAATCTTTGGCCGGGAGTGCGAATTGTTTTTTTCAACAAACTTTGCAAAAACAATTCTATCCAGACTTGAAGTGGGAAAAAAGTGTTTTTAATGAAGAAAAACCCATTCACGTGGTTTTTTTTACAAAGAGCAATAGTTCTGAACAGAATATATAGAGAAATCGTCGTTTCAAAATACATTTTCAACGTTGTTTTGCAAGCCAAAACAAAACACGAAAAATCAAGACAAACTGAAACTCAAGAGGTATGTTTCAAGAAATATATTTCAACTGTTTTATAATATAAATAGAGTTCAATAATCTTTTTAAACTTACACAACTACT